TACCTTTCTTTGCGTTGATTGCTGTAATTGTTTTGTTTACTTTCCGCTTAAGGTCTTCTACGGGGTTCCTCGTGATTCGTTGAAATTTGGAGTCGTCACTTAGGATGTCGCTAATTTTGTTCATGTATTCATGGGTAGGAATCAATACATATGCTGCTGTTTTGTCGGCTTTTCTTATTGTTACGTCTTTCAGATTTTTTAGTTGTTTCGCTGCTTCTTTGAGTCGTGGGGTTAAGATTGTAGATGAATATGTTCCTCGTTTTTTCCCTGCTTCTGCAAGTAGTTCAGCTTGAAGTGTGTCAGTGGTGATGACTTTTTTGTTGTCTTCTAGCTTATGGATATCGTCCAGAAGCATTTCGATTTCCAGGCGTTTTTGATGCATCTTTGGTTTAGATAAGAATTGACAATTTAGACCAAGATTTAAGAGGTCTCGTTGGTCCTGGGTAAGATCATAAGAAGTCAGGTTAAAGTAGCCATCTTTAGGACGAGGGATTTTTAGCTGTCCACCGTTAAGGGATGTTAACTTACGGAGTGTCTTTGTTTCTACAAGAGTTTTATGTTGTTGTTTCAGGTTAAATAGTTCACTGTTGATGGTTTGCTTGAGTTGGATAGGGATGTTGTACTGGGTCCATTTGTTTAACAGATGCTCAGCCTGCTCTATAAAGGTTTGGAGGGCTTCCTTCTTCTTGTTTAGTTGATGCCGAATGAGCTCTTGCCTATACCTATAGGTAAACTCTGTATTGCGGACTGCTGGGTCATGTGGGTTTATATTGGTGTATACTGGCAGCAGGTTTTCTTTCAAACATGTTTCATTGAATATGACCGCATATTCTGTATTTATTATTTTCTGGTTTAGGGCTTCTATCCCTCTAACTATTTTCTTAGCATCAGGGCTTAATTGAAATAGGAGTTCTCCAAAACTCATTTTCGTACTTTTAAGGTGAAGAAAAGAAGTGATTTACTATAGAGTGTATTACACTTATTTGTATAATTTGCACGACGTTTCGAACCTCCATGGTTCATTCTCAAGTGAACAGATCTTACAATACTAGTTGATTTTATACCCGCATTAGGTCAGGTGATAATACAATGAAGGTGAAAACATGGGGGATACATAAGGGATAAATGTGAGGTGAAACATAGAGGCTGCAGAAGGCTTATTGGCCCATACGAGGCATCTCCTATCTAAACACAAAGATTAATCCAGTGTAATTGGCCTGTTATGTTGGACATTGTCTTCTGTGTTGGCATCGATATGTTCTTGTCTTGTCCTTGCTCTCATGGTGGGTAGAGTAAATAGTTCCGTGATTTGGGTGTTCATGGTAGGTCGCTCTATTCTTATGTGAATTGCCTCAAGAATTTGTAATCTTCTTGAATCTTGGGTTTTGTCTATTATGCAAGTATTCTTGTTCAACATTTCTCTTGTTAGAGTAATGTCATGGGCTTGTCTCATGTGATTCCTAGGGGCACCAGATTGAAGATGGCATGTCAAACGCCTCGTCAGCTTGGTCGACGTCATACCTATGTACTTACATTGAAGGTTACATCCTTCGTGGGGGCAAGTGTACATGTATACAACGCTTGACTGCTGTAGAGGGTTCTCCGTCGGCTTCGGGCTGTTTTTGATAAGGAGTTCGGAAGTCTTCTTGGTTTTGTAGAATATTATCAGGTTTATGTTTTGGTTAGGAGTAGTGCTTTTTACTCCTTTACGGATTATTTCTTTCATTATTCTTTCCTCTTTTATATGTTCACTGTGCATGGTTGATTTGTAATATAATTTTATTGGGGGTGTTGTGGTTTCTGTTCTAGGTTCTGAATTATACCAGCGGTCCAAGTGTCTTCTTATAGCAGCGTTTATTTCCGCGTTGCTATATCCGTTGTTCACCAATACCTGAGTTACTCTTTCAAACTCTCTACTCACGTTGCTCCATTCAGAGCAGTGGGTAAGCGCTCGACGAATATAAGCATTGAGAACACTGGCTTTGTATCTTTGGGGGCACTCACTTCTACCGTTCAGGCATAATCCTATGTTGGTGGGCTTGGTATATACGTTGGTGCTTAAAGAGGTTCCTGTTTTTGTTATTAGTACATCCAAGAATGGCAGACTGTTATTTTCACTATTTTCATGTGTAAATCGGAGTACTGACTCTCTCTCTAGGTGTCTTTTTAGGTCAATTAGTTCATCTGAGTCTTTTACTATTACGAATATGTCATCTATATATATATATATATATATATATATATATATATATATATATATATATATATATATATATATATATATATATATATATATATCATGACAGATTTAAAAACTCTATAGGGAGGTGTATTTTCAACCTAACTTAATATGGTCCCCCTCCCCCCCCCCATCCATTCCTAGGCCTACAGCAGACCTTCCGCAGGATGCAGCCCCTCAGCAGCGGCCTAACCCCCGTGTGCCTATTTGTTGCTTCGTGAACAAAGGCATTACGAAAACCCAAAACGTTGCCCAAACGCTTCCATTCTGCCGCGGGAATTGAACCCCAAGACCTTCCGGTTGCGTCCCGACTGCGCAGTTTTTCTGCTTGGAGAACTCTGCTGTGGCGCTCAGGCTGGATATTACACAGGCCGCGCTGTGCAGTGGGAGCACATTGCAGACATTGTAGATACAATCTTTACCTATTTGTAAAGCTATGCAACACCCACTGTTGCATAGCTCAACCACTGACAGCTGGTGTCAACGTTGTATACTAACAGCTGGTGTCAACGTTGTATACTGACAGCTGGTGTCAACGTTGTATACTGACAGCTGGTGTCAACGTTGTATACTGACAGCTGGTGTCAACGTTGTATACTGACAGCTGGTGTCAACGTTGCAGACTGACAGCTGGTGTCAACGTTGCAGACTGACAGCTGGTGTCAACGTTGCAGACTGACAGCTGGTGTCAGCGTTGCAGACTGACAGCTGGTGTCAGAGACCTGGGTAAATACTGGTTTGGAGATAAAGTTGTTAATTTAACTAATTACCTCGTAACCTAACAGAAATGGGATTGATGGATTGTTTCCAGCGTAGGTTGGACATATATACCTAATATATGAATGAGATTGACTGGATATAAATAGGAACCGCCTCGAATGGGCCAATAGAAGCTGCCTTGGTCAATAGCTGCGTCTTAGTATTGACCACGACGCTCGTAACATGTCTTGGAGAAGAAGAATTGTGGTAAGTAAAGTCTGCTTTTGATGTCAAAGTGACATCAAAGTGACAGAGTGACATTCTGTGATGGCTGGGTGATGTATTATTTGTGTCTGTGATGGCTGGGTGATGTATTATTTGTGTCTGTTATGACTGGGTGATGTATTATTTGTGTCTGTGATGGCTTGGTGTTATACCCTGCCCCTTCCCGTACCCTGCCCCCTCCCGTACCCTGCCCCCTCCCGTTCTCTGCCCCCTCCCGTACCCTGCCCCCTCCCGTTCTCTGCCTCCTCCCGTACCCTGCCCCCTCCCGTTCTCTGCCTCCTCCCGTACCCTGCCCCCTCCCGTACCCTGCCTCCTCCCGTACCCTGCCCCCTCCCGTTCTCTGCCCCCTCCCGTACCCTGCCCCCTCCCGTTCTCTGCCTCCTCCCGTACCCTGCCCCCTCCCGTTCTCTGCCCCCTCCCGTACCCTGCCCCCTCCCGTTCTCTGCCCCCTCCCGTACCCTGCCCCCTCCCGTTCTCTGCCTCCTCCCGTACCCTGCCCCCTCCCGTTCTCTGCCCCCTCCCGTACCCTGCCCCCTCCCGTTCTCTGCCTCCTCCCGTACCCTGCCCCCTCCCGTTCTCTGCCCCCTCCCGTACCCTGCCCCCTCCCGTTCTCTGCCCCCTCCCGTACCCTGCCCCCTCCCGTTCTCTGCCTCCTCCCGTACCCTGCCCCCTCCCGTTCTCTGCCCCCTCCCGTACCCTGCCCCCTCCCGTTCTCTGCCCCCTCCCGTACCCTGCCCCCCTCCCGTTCTCTGCCCCCTCCCGTACCCTGCCCCCTCCCGTTCTCTGCCTCCTCCCGTACCCTGCCCCCTCCCGTACCCTGCCCCCTCCCGTTCTCTGCCTCCTCCCGTACCCTGCCCCCTCCCGTTCTCTGCCTCCTCCCGTACCCTGCCCCCTCCCGTACCCTGCCCCCTCCCGTTCTCTGCCTCCTCCCGTACCCTGCCCCCTCCCGTTCTCTGCCCCCTCCCGTACCCTGCCCCCTCCCGTTCTCTGCCCCCTCCCGTACCCTGCCCCCTCCCGTTCTCTGCCTCCTCCCGTACCCTGCCCCCTCCCGTTCTCTGCCCCCTCCCGTACCCTGCCCCCTCCCGTTCTCTGCCCCCTCCCGTACCCTGCCCCCCTCCCGTTCTCTGCCCCCTCCCGTACCCTGCCCCCTCCCGTTCTCTGCCTCCTCCCGTACCCTGCCCCCTCCCGTACCCTGCCCCCTCCCGTTCTCTGCCTCCTCCCGTACCCTGCCCCCTCCCGTTCTCTGCCCCCTCCCGTACCCTGCCCCCTCCCGTTCTCTGCCCCCTCCCGTACCCTGCCCCCTCCCGTTCTCTGCCTCCTCCCGTACCCTGCCCCCTCCCGTTCTCTGCCTCCTCCCGTACCCTGCCCCCTCCCGTTCTCTGCCTCCTCCCGTACCCTGCCCCCTCCCGTTCTCTGCCTCCTCCCGTACCCTGCCCCCTCCCGTTCTCTGCCTCCTCCCGTACCCTGCCCCCCTCCCGTTCTCTGCCTCCTCCCGTACCCTGCCCCCTCCCGTTCTCTGCCTCCTCCCGTACCCTGCCCCCTCCCGTTCTCTGCCTCCTCCCGTACCCTGCCCCCCTCCCGTTCTCTGCCTCCTCCCGTACCCTGCCCCCTCCCGTTCTCTGCCTCCTCCCGTACCCTGCCCCCTTCCGTACCCTGCCTCCTCCCGTACCCTGCCCCCTCCCGTACCCTGCCCCCTCCCGTACCCTGCCCCCCCTCCCGTACCCTGCCCCCCCTCCCGTACCCTGCCCCCCCCCCCCCGTACCACCCGTGCACCCACCTGAAGGAGAGGGTGGTGAGCGGCCTCCAGGAGCCGTGAGAGCCCCGGCGGGAGAGCGGGTTGCCCCAGAAGTCATGGCTCCACACGGACCACCAGGGCGTCGTGCCCACCACGTCTCGGTTGCCCAGCACGGCGCGGCTGTTGGTGGAGGCACACTGCATCAGTATGGACACACACACACACACACACACGTCATAAGATATAGGACATTAGGATATATATGACATATTAGGACATAGAATGATCCCTGTCTGGATCAAACAAACTATGACTACACACCTCATACAACAGGATATATGCCCAGAGTGTGAGGCTCTGATTGGTTGTGTGTTATGAACCGGGTGTTGTGTGTTATGAACCAGGTGTTGTGTGTTATGAACCGGGTGTTGTGTGTTATGAACCAGGTGTTGTGTGTTATGAACCAGGTGTTGTGTGTTATGAACCGGGTGTTGTGTGTTATGAACCAGGTGTTGTGTGTTATGAACCGGGTGTTGTGTGTTATGAACCAGGTGTTGTGTGTTATGAACCAGGTGTTGTGTGTTATGAACCGGGTGTTGTGTGTTATGAACCAGGTGTTGTGTGTTATGAACCAGGTGTTGTGTGTTATGAACCGGGTGTTGTGTGTTATGAACCAGGTGTTGTGTGTTATGAACCGGGTGTTGTGTGTTATGAACCAGGTGTTGTGTGTTATGAACCAGGTGTTGTGTGTTATGAACCGGGTGTTGTGTGTTATGAACCGGGTGTTGTGTGTTATGAACCGGGTGTTGTGTGTTACGAACCGGGTGTTGTGTGTTATGAACCGGGTGTTGTGTGTTATGAACCGGGTGTTGCGCCTCATGGTGCCTCATGGCGCCTCATGGTGCCTCATGGCGCCTCATGGTGCCTCATGGTGCCTCATGGTGCCTCATGGTGCTTCATGGTGCCTCATGGTGCTTCTGGTGCCTCATGGTGCCTCATAGTACTTCTGGTGCCTCATGGTGCCTCATAGGTGCCTCATGGTGCCTCATGGTGCCTCATGGTGCTTCATGGTGCCTCATGGTGCTTCTGGTGCCTCATGGTGCCTCATGGTGCCTCATGGTGCCTCATGGTGCCTCATGGTGCCTCATAGTACTTCTGGTGCCTCATGGTGCCTCATAGGTGCCTCATGGTGCCTCATAGGTGCCTCATGATGCTTCTAGTGCCTCATGGTGCCTCACGGTGCTTCATGGTGCATCATGGTGCCTCACGGTGCTTCATGGTGCATCATGGTGCCTCACGGTGCTTCATGGTGCTTCATGGTGCTTCTGGTGCCTCATTGCACCTCATTGGTGCCTCATGGTGCCGCATGGCGCCACATGTTGCCTCATGGTGCTTCATGGTGCCTCATATTGCCTCATAGGTGCCTCATGGTGCCTCATGGTGCTTCATGGTGCCTCATGGTGCTTCATGGTGCCTCATGGTGCTTCATGGTGCCTCATGGTGCCTCATAGGTGCCTCATGGTGCTTCTGGTGCCTCATGGTGCCTGATAGTGCTTCTGGTGCCTCATAGTGCTTCTGGTGCCTCATAGGTGCCTCATGATGCTTCTAGTGCCTCATGGTGCCTCACGGTGCTTCATGGTGCATCATGGTGCCTCATGGTGCCTTATGGCGCCTCATGTTGCTTCATGGTGCCTCATTGTGCCTCATAGGTGCCTCATGGTGCCTCATGGTGCCTCATGGTGCTTCATGGTGCCTCATGGCGCCTCATAGGTGCCTCTTGGTGCCTCATGGTGCCTCATAGGTGCCTCATGGTGCTTCTAGTGCCTCATGGTGCCTCATGTTGCTCATGGTGCCTCATGGTGCCTCATTGTGCCTCATAGGTGCCTCATGGTGCCTCATGGTGCCTTATAGGTGCCTCTTGGTGCCTCATGGTGCCTCATAGTGCTTCTGGTGCTTCATGGCGCCTCATGTTGCCTCATGGTGCCTCATGGTGCCTCATGGTGCCTCATTGTGCCTCATAGGTGCCTCATGGTGCCTCATGGTGCTTCTGGGGCCTCATAGGTGCCTCATGGTGCCGCATGGTGCCTCATAGGTACCTCATGGTGCCTCATGGCGCCGCATGGTGCCTCATAGGTACCTCATGGTGCCTCATGGTGCCTCATGGTGCCTCATAGGTACCTCATGGTGCCTCATAGGTGCCTCTTGGTGCCTCATGGTGCCTCATGGTGCCTCATGATGCTTCATGGTGCCTCATGGCGCCTCATGGTGCTTCTGGTGCCTTATGGTGCCTCATGGTGCCTCATGGCGCCTAATGGTGCCTCATGGTGCCTCATGGTGCTTCATGGCGCCTCATGGTGCCTCATGGCGCCTCATGGTGCTTCTGGTGCCTCATAGTGCCTCATGGTGCCTCATGGTGCTTCTGATGCCTCATGGTGCCTCATGGTGCTTCATGGTGCTTCTGGTGCCTCATGGTGCCTCATGGTGCTTCTGGCGCCTCATGGTGCCTCATGGTGCTTCATGGTGCTTCTGGTGCCTCATGGTGCTTCTGGCGCCTCATGGTGCCTTATGGTGCCTCATGGTGCTTCTGGTGCCTCATGGTGCTTCATGGTGCTTCATGGTGCCTCGTGGTGCCTCATGGTGCCTCATGGTGCTTCATGGTGCCTCATGGTGCCTCATGGTGCTTCATGGTGCTTCTGGTGCCTCATGGTGCTTCATGGTGCCTCATGGTGCCTCATAGGGCTTCTAGTGCATCATGGTGCTTCATGGTGCCTCATAGTGCTTCATGGTGCTTCTGGGGCCTCATAGGTGCCTCATGGTGCCTCATGGTGCCTCATGGCGCCTCATGGTGCCTCATGGTGCTTCATGGTGCCTCATGGTGCTTCTAGTGCATCATGGTGCTTCATGGTGCCTCATGGTGCTTCTGGGGCCTCATGGCGCCTCATGGTGCCTCATGGCGCCTCATGGTGCCTCATGGTGCCTCATGACGCCTCATGGTGCTTCATGGTGCCTCATGGTGCCTCATGGTGCTTCATGGTGCTTCTGGTGCCTCATGGCGCCTCATAGGTGCCTCATGGTGCCTCATGGTGCGTCATGGTGCCTCATGGTGCTTCATAGGTGCCTCATGGTGCCTCATGGTGCTTCATGGTGCCTCATGGTGCCTCATGGTGAGTCATGGTGCCTCATGGTGCCTCATGGTGCCACATGCTGCATCATGGTGCCTCATGGTGCTTCATGGTGCCTCATGGTGCGTCATGGTGCCTCATGGCGCCTCATGGTGCCTCATGGCGCCTCATGGTGCCTCATAGTGCCTCATGGCGCCTCATGGTGCCTCATGGCGCCTCATGGTGCCTCATGGTGCCTCATGGTGCCTCATGGCGCCTCATGGTGCCTCATGGTGCCTCATGGCGCCTCATGGTGCCTCATGGTGCCTCATGGCGCCTCATGGTGCCTCATGGTGCCTCATGGCGCCTCATGGTGCCTCATGGTGCCTCATGGCGCCTCATGGTGCCTCATGGTGCCTCATGGCGCCTCATGGTGCCTCATGGTGCCTCATGGCGCCTCCTGGTGCCTCATGGTGCCTCATGGCGCCTCATGGTGCCTCATGGTGCCTCATGGCGCCTCATGGTGCCTCATGGTGCCTCATGGCGCCTCATGGTGCTTCATTGCGCCTCATGGTGCCTCATGGTGCCTCATGGTGCCTGGAGACCAGTGCCACCACTAGTGAACGTGCCAGTTCTGTTCTTCTAGGAAGTGCTTAATTCACTTAAGTGCTTGTTGCTCGTTAACACGCACACACACACACACACACACACACACACACACACACACACACACACACACACACACACACACACACACACACACACACACACACACACACACACATACTCCAGGCCAATCCTGGAGTATGCAGCCCCAGCATGGAGTCCATATCTAGTCAAGGATAAGACTAAACTGGAAAAGGTTCAAAGGTTTGCCACCAGACTAGTACCCGAGCTGAGAGGTATGAGCTACGAGGAGAGACTACGGGAATTAAACCTCACTTCGCTGGAAGACAGAAGAGTTAGGGGGGACATGATCACCACATTCAAGATTCTGAAGGGGATTGATAGGGTAGATAAAGACAGTCTATTTAACACAAGGGGCACACGTACTAGGGGACACAGGTGGAAACTGAGTGCCCAAATGAGCCACAGAGATATTAGAAAGAACTTTTTTAGTGTCAGAGTGGTTGACAAATGGAATGCATTAGGAAGTGATGTGGTGGAGGCTGACTCCATACACAGTTTCAAGTGTAGATATGACAGAGCCCGATAGGCTCAGGAATCTGTACACCTGTTGATTGACGGTTGAGAGGCGGGACCAAAGAGCCAGAGCTCAACCCCCGCAAACACAACTAGGTGAGTACAACTAGGTGAGTACACACACACACACACACACACACACACACACATATGCGAGGCTGGCTAACATCAGAACGGCGTTCAGGAACCTGTGTAAGGAATCATTCAGAATCTTGTACACCACATATGTAAGACCAATCCTGGAGTATGCGGCCCCAGCATGGAGCCCGTACCTTGTCAAGCACAAGACGAAGCTGGAAAAAGTCCAAAGGTATGCTACTAGACTAGTCCCAGAACTAAGAGGCATGAGTTATGAGGAAAGGCTGCAGGAAATGCACCTTACGACACTGGAAGACAGAAGAGTAAGGGGGGACATGATCACAACCTACAAAATCCTCAGGGGAATCGACCGGGTAAACAAGGATGAACTATTCAACACTGGTGGGACGCGAACAAGGGGACACAGGTGGAAGCTGAGTACCCACATGAGCCACAGAGACGTTAGAAAGAACTTTTTCAGTGTCAGAGTAGTTAGTAAATGGAATGCATTAGGAAGTGATGTGGTGGAGGCTGACTCCATACACAGTTTCAAATGTAGATATGATAGAGGCCAGTAGGCTCAGGAACCTGTACACCAGTTGATTGACAGTTGAGAGGCGGGACCAAAGAGCCAGAACTCAACCCCCGCAAGCACAACAAGATAAGTACACACACAGGGAGTTAACAAAATACTTGTGTTGACAAAAAGTCGTCACTAAACATGTGTATCTATGTATTTACGTATGTAGGTTAGCTTAGCATTTTAAAAGCACCGAATCACCTTCTGTGGTTGATTGTTCAATAAACCCTTGAACTATATGTTTAACACAGCTCTAACTCTGTCCATGGAGGACAGAAGAAAATGTTTATATGCTGGTTAGCATTGTAAATGTCTGGCCACGTCTGTGGTAGAAAATAATATTAAAACACAAAAACACTAAACATGTACAATATAAGCAAGAAAGAAGATAGACAATATAATATGAACGGGATTTTGAAAACGATGATGACAAGAAGGATAAGAAAGAATAAGGAAAGGATAAGGAAGGATAAGAAAAACAAGGAGACAGAATACAGGAGAAGTTAAGGAGAGGCAGGACACAGTGTAGCAGAGGCAGGACACAGAGTAGGAGAGGCAGGACACAGTGTGGGAGAGGCAGGACACAGTGTAGGAGAGGCAGGACACAGTGTGGGAGAGGCAGGACACAGTGTAGGAGAGACAAGACACAGTGTAGGAGAGGCAGGACACAGTGTGGGAGAGGCAGGACACAGTGTAGGAGAGGCAGGACACAGTGTGGGAGAGGCAGGACACAGTGTAGGAGAGGCAGGACACAGTGTGGGAGAGGCAGGACACAGTGTGGGAGAGGCAGGACACAGTGTGGGAGAGGCAGGACACAGTGTGGGAGAGGCAGGACACAGTGTGGGAGAGGCAGGACACAGTGTGGGAGAGGCAGGACACAGTGTAGGAGAGGCAGGACACAGTGTGGGAGAGGCAGGACACAGTGTAGGAGAGGCAGGACACATTGTAGGAGAGACAAGACACAGTGTAGGAGAGGCAGGATACAGTGTAGGAGAGGCAGGACACAGTGTAGGAGAGGCAGGACACAGTGTAGGAGAGACAGGCCACAGTGTAGTAGAGGCAGGACACAGTGTAGGAGAGGCAGGACACAGTGTAGGAGAGGCAGGACACAGTGTAGGAGAGGCAGGACACAGTGTAGGAGAGGCAGGACAGTGTAGTAGAGGCAGGACAGTGTAGTAGAGGCAGGACACAGTGTAGGAGAGGCAGGACACAGTGTAGGAGAGGCAGAATACAGTGTAGTAGAGGCAGGACACAGTGTAGGAGAGGCAGGACACAGTGTAGGAGAGGCAGGACACAGTGTAGGAGAGGCAGGACACAGTGTAGGAGAGGCAGGACACAGTGTAGGAGAGGCAGAATACAGTGTAGTAGAGGCAGGACACAGTGTAGGACAGGCAGGACACAGTGTAAGAGAGGCAGGACACAGTAGAGGAGAGGCAGGACACAGTGTAGGAGAGGCGGGACACATTGTAGTAGAGGCAGGACACAGTGTAGTAGAGGCAGGACACAGTGTAGGAGAGGCAGGACACAGTGTAGTAGAGGCAGGACACAGAGTAGGAGAGGCGGGACACAGTGTAGGAGAGGCAGGACACAGTGTAGTAGAGGCAGGACATAGTGTAGTAGAGGCAGGAAATAGTGTAGGAGAGGCAGGACACAGTGTAGGAGAGGCAGGACACAGTGTAGGAGAGGCAGGACACAGTGTAGGAGAGGCAGGACACAGTGTGGGAGAGGCAGGACACAGTGTAGGAGAGGCAGGACACAGTGTGGGAGAGGCAGGACACAGTGTAGGAGAGACAAGACACAGTGTAGGAGAGGCAGGACACAGTGTGGGAGAGGCAGGACACAGTGTAGGAGAGGCAGGACACAGTGTGGGAGAGGCAGGACACAGTGTAGGAGAGGCAGGACACAGTGTGGGAGAGGCAGGACACAGTGTGGGAGAGGCAGGACACAGTGTGGGAGAGGCAGGACACAGTGTGGGAGAGGCAGGACACAGTGTGGGAGAGGCAGGACACAGTGTGGGAGAGGCAGGACACAGTGTAGGAGAGGCAGGACACAGTGTGGGAGAGGCAGGACACAGTGTAGGAGAGGCAGGACACATTGTAGGAGAGACAAGACACAGTGTAGGAGAGGCAGGATACAGTGTAGGAGAGGCAGGACACAGTGTAGGAGAGGCAGGACACAGTGTAGGAGAGACAGGGCACAGTGTAGTAGAGGCAGGACACAGTGTAGGAGAGGCAGGACACAGTGTAGGAGAGGCAGGACACAGTGTAGGAGAGGCAGGACACAGTGTAGGAGAGGCAGGACAGTGTAGTAGAGGCAGGACAGTGTAGTAGAGGCAGGACACAGTGTAGGAGAGGCAGGACACAGTGTAGGAGAGGCCGAATACAGTGTAGTAGAGGCAGGACACAGTGTAGGAGAGGCAGGACACAGTGTAGGAGAGGCAGGACACAGTGTAGGAGAGGCAGGACACAGTGTAGGAGAGGCAGGACACAGTGTAGGAGAGGCAGAATACAGTGTAGTAGAGGCAGGACACAGTGTAGGACAGGCAGGACACAGTGTAAGAGAGGCAGGACACAGTAGAGGAGAGGCAGGACACAGTGTAGGAGAGGCGGGACACAGTGTAGTAGAGGCAGGACACAGTGTAGTAGAGGCAGGACACAGTGTAGGAGAGGCAGGACACAGTGTAGGAGAGGCAGGACACAGTGTAGGAGAGGCAGGACACAGTGTAGGAGAGGCAGGACACAGTGTAGTAGAGGCAGGACACAGAGTAGGAGAGGCGGGACACAGTGTAGGAGAGGCAGGACACAGTGTAGTAGAGGCAGGACACAGTGTAGGAGAGGCAGGACACAGTGTAGGAGAGGCAGGACACAGTGTAGTAGAGGCAGGACACAGTGTAGGAGAGGCAGGACAGTGTAGTAGAGGCAGGACACAGTAGAGTAGAGGCAGGACACAGTGTAGGAGAGGCAGGACACAGTGTAGGAGAGGCAGGACACAGTGTAGTAGAGGCAGGACACAGAGTAGGAGAGGCGGGACACAGTGTAGGAGAGGCAGGACACAGTGTAGTAGAGGCAGGACATAGTGTAGTAGAGGCAGGACACAGTGTAGGAGAGGCAGGACACAGTGTAGGAGAGGCAGGACACAGTGTAGTAGAGGCAGGACACAGAGTAGGAGAGGCGGGACACAGTGTAGGAGAGGCAGGACACAGTGTAGTAGAGGCAGGACATAGTGTAGTAGAGGCAGGACACAGTGTAGGAGAGGCAGGACACAGTGTAGTAGAGGCAGGACACAGTGTAGGAGAGGCAGGACAGTGTAGTAGAGGCAGGACACAGTAGAGTAGAGGCAGGACACAGTAGAGTAGAGGCAGGACACAGTGTAGGAGAGGCAGGACACAGTGTAGGGGAGGCAGGACACAGTGTAGGAGAGGCAGGACACAGTGTAGTAGAGGCAGGACACAGTGTAGGAGAGGCAGGACACAGTGTAGGAGAGGCAGGACACAGTGTAGTAAAGGCAGGACACAGTGTAGGAGAGGCAGGACACAGTGTAGGAGAGGCAGGGCACAGTGTAGTAGAGGCAGGACAGTGTAGTAGAGGCAGGACACGGTAGAGTAGAGGCAGGACACAGTGTAGGAGAGGCAGGACACAGTGTAGTAGAGGCAGGACACAGTGTAGGAGAGGCAGGACACAGTGTAGGAGAGGCGGGACACATTGTAGTAGAGGCAGGACACAGTAGAGGAGAGGCAGGACACAGTGTAGTAGAGGCAGG